AAAAAAAAAAAAAAAAAAAAAAAAAGGAAGTACTTGGAAGAGGTGCTCAGAATATCCCCACTGAACACACAAGAACACTGAGTTACCCAAGGTCATACTGCTAGGAAGTGTCAGAGACAGAATTTGAACTTGGGTCTATCTGACCCAGACCTGGACGGTTAACTCAGCCACACACTGCTCTGCAGCAGAATCATGTGTGTGATTCCTGACATGTGCTCTCTTTAGGGAGGGTACCCTGTATTTATCCTTCTTCTGCAGCCCCTGGCACCCAGCACCATTCCCTGAATAGTGTGGAAGCTCTCTCAGTGCGGATAATGGTTCCATTCAAGTTCACTCACTGGCATTCCCCAGTGCCTGCCTTTCTCCTCAGATAATCTAGCCAGAAGCTGGTGGATGCTAATGAAATGGAGTGAGTCCTCCTCTGTAACTCCAGCTTAAACCACTCAGTTGGGAAGGTTATCCTCCTGTGTTCAAGCAATTTGACTGAAAGATTCAAGGAATGGGGTATAGGTTCAGGTTGATATTGGAATCAGAGGATCTTGGTTTGACTCTTAACTCTGACACTTTTTAACTGTGTGACCCTGGGTGATTTTCTTTACTTTTCCAGGTCTCGGTTTCCACATCTGTAAAATGGGGTTACAACAATAAGAATTTTACTCTCAGATTGTTTGTAAGAATTCAATAAACTCCTAGCTAATTTAATAAGTTGACACTGAGCGTGGTGGCTCATACCTGTAGTGCCAACACTTTGGGAGGCTGAGGTGAGAGGATTGCTTGAGTCCAGGAGTTTGGGACCAGCCTGGGCAACATAGTGAGACCCCATCTCAATAAAAAATAGAAATAAGAATTAGCTGGAGTGATGGCACATGCCTGTAGTCCCAGCTACTCAGGAGGCTGAGGTGGGAGGATGACTTGAGCCAAAAGTTTGAGACTGCAGTGAACTAGGATCAAGCCACAGCACTCCTACCTGGGCAACAGAACAAGACCTTGTCTATAATAAACAAATAAATAATTGAGTGCTTTTTATGTGCCAAGCATGTTGCAAGCAATATAATTATGTATAAAGAAATCCTGTCAATAGCCTTGTAGAGTAGGGACTGTTTGCTGCCTTCCTTTTACTGATGAAGAAACTGAGGCACAGAGTGAAGCAACCTGCCCAACTGGTAGACACAGGATTTGCTCCTTAGCAATGTGGCCTCAGAACCCATGTCCTTAGCCAGTGTGCCAGTCTGGATGTCTGAGGCTTAGGAAATGCTCAGCCAGTGCCAGCCTTCATCACCAACTTTTTATCTGCAAGCCACCTCTCGGACAATCTTCGGTGATAAAAATTTCAGTGTTTTCTTTTCATCTCTACCCAAGGCAGCCAGTCCTGCCCACAGGCCCCAGAGATGGGCTCACTAGGCCCATGCAGACCCCTATAATCTCCCCCTCCAGGCCCCGCTGCCGCCCTTACCGGAGTTGGCGAGGGCCAGGGCCTTGAGCGTCACAAACTCCTCCTTTTCCACCTTGAGCTTCTTGTACCTGCGCACCAGCTGCAGGATGGCCCGGTAGAGCTCCAGCAGCCCCGCGAGGCGGGAGTGCTCCTCATCCATGATGTAGTCCTCAGCATACACCAGCTTGTCGTCATAGGGCAGCGAGCGGTACACGATGCCCAGGATGAGGATCTCCATCCAGGCACTCTGCAGCAGGCTCATCTGGTCCCCCAGGGAGAGGTTCGAGAAGCCTGCGGGAAGAGGGGACACAGAGGGCAGTGGCAGGTCAGAAGGGCGGACCAGGAGCCTCCCTGGGGCTCGCTAGGGGGCAGAGGTTGTAGGGTGTGGCTGTGTCTCTGGCACCTTTGGTTCCTGTCCCCGGGCCTTCCTTGTGTGGTGTAAGACTCACTGTCCTCCCCTTGGGGAATGTGTCAGACTTGGAATTCACGGAAAAGACTGAAATAAGAAGAACTCAGTCAATGTTGACAGTTGTTCCTATCATTATTATTGTTAGTTCTATGGTATTTTCCAAATGTCTGTAGAGGCTTTTTGATTCATTCAATGCATTTGTAGTTAGAGGAGTGACTGAGTACATACTGGAACCAGGAAGCAGCATTACGAGCTCTCGGCCACTCTGGGGAGTTTCCAGGGCCCACTCTCTGCTCAAACCAGACGAGGCTTTCGTGTTTGAAAATGACACCTGATCCTTGATGCAGCCTCAGCTGTGCAGAAACCCACAGGCCTTCCCAAGAATGAGGACACAGCTGTTCAAAGCCACAGGGGAAGGCCCCAGCGACCACAGCCTGGGGCTGCTAAGAGATCAAGAGTCCCCGGGGTCAGGGGCACTTTCTCACAGGACAGCCTGTCCTCCCAGAGTCAGAGCACCCCTTCCTGGGCCATCATTCTCTGCTTCACGATGACCCAGCAGTCCTGTTCTGGGAGCTTGGAATCATGGGAGTTCCCCGCTCCCTGCTACTGAGGAGGCTGATTCCACAGTGAAAATGAAGCTGGGCATGGAGAAGGCTCCAGAATTGCGACACTGTCTCGTCCAGTGAGCTCTGGATATTGCCTGGGTTGAACGCTGACTCCCATTTACTAGCTGTAGGCTGACCTTGTGGAAACCATGCAACTTCTCCAAACCTTACTTTCCTCATTTAGGAAATGGTTTTATAGTAGGGTCTACTTCAGAGAGTTGCTGTGAGGTCTAATTGAGACGATGATTCCAGAACAAACTAAGTATTTACCGAGCTATTATTACTAATGATGAGATGAGAGTCCTCATCTGCAAAACAATGATAATATACTGGAATTGCATTATACACGTACTTAAATTAGGCAAAGTCAATTAACATCTTGATTTATAGGAGAGTAAGACAGAGTAAGTAAATAAATAAGTTGGCTGATTTTCAAACATCTTAACCACCGAACACAAGGCAGTAACTTCACTGGAGATTCAAACAGAAACTCAGTGACTGGTTCTAACATGGACATGCTGGATTTATTCAAAGAATTGTTGCACCATGCACTATGGGTAACGGACATGAAGGGATTTTTTTCAGGGTTAGTTTTGCCTAGGAAGGACTTTCTACTTCATTTGCTGACTTAGACCCCATCCCTGGCTGGAAGCCACTTTCTGATGTGGGGTGCTGTGGGGGTGAAGAGAGAAGATGCATGTAAAGTGCTGGGCACCTCTCCCGGCGCCATCAGCACTCAACACGCTAGGGTGCTGGTAATGGCTGCGGCTGTTGTTACTATTAATACTATTGTTGTTGTTGGCACACCATTGGCATCACTCACTTCTCCTCTCTGGACTTGTCTGGAGGTCTGGGTGGTCCTGAGCTTCTGGATCACCCAGCTCTTTGGCTTGTGTGGTCTACTCCATCCATCTGCTGTCCTCTGTCTTCAAATGCCACTTCTTCCCTGGCTTCCACACAGGGCATGGCAGTTGAACCTTAGGGGGCACTCCTGGAGCTGAAGGCCCCCAACTTGGCAGGCCACCCTTACCCTGTGAGCATTCTCCAAGTGAATTATCACGGTGCCCAAGACCGACGGCTCAGATCACCACCGGCTAACAGAATCCGTGGGTGATCAACCAAAGAGCAGGAGTGATTACACCGACTGACACGGGCGAGCTTTGATTGATGCACCTTCTCAAGGGAGAGGCTGTGACAGGGGGTCAGGGTGTGTGTGTGTGTTTGTGTGTGTGTGTGTGTGTGTGTGTGTGGTTGTCCAGATTCCCTGCATGGGAGAGGGTGTGTGGCTGCCTGTGGTGGCCGGGGGAGCTGGGAGGTAATAAAAGATAGATAGAAATGGACATCCAATTTCCCTTATCAGGTCTCTGAGTAGGAGAGAGGCCTTGGGCAACATTAATTAACAGATACCAATCAGCCAGCACGGGAGAGTGTGTGGGGGGAGTGTAGGACAGCTCTGGGGAGGGGGTCTAAAAGCAGACAGACTGGAGGGGAGATGGAGGAGGAGAGCAGGAGCAAAATTAGCAGACAGCTGAATTGGAAGGTGGCAGAGAGAGAGGATGAGGTAAGGACTAGGCTTCTGGAAACGCAGGGGAAAAGTCCCCTGTGCAGTGAATCATGCAGGTACAATCATTAGGATGTTACTAGAATGCTTTCCTGCCCTTTGAGACATTCAGCAAAAACTTACTGAGCACCTACTAAGTGCCAGGCCTGTGCTAGGCACCGGGGACAGAATGGTGTGCTCAGTCCAGAACTGCTCCCTGCCTTCAAGGGCTTACAGTGAAGGGGAAGACACACACCAAGGGGTACAAATCAGCACAAAGTTAGAATATGAGAAGAGCTACAGCAAATGCAGGGCTCTGAGAGCGTGTAACTGGGGAAGGTGGTCCAAACAAGAGTCTAGGGAAGGCTTTGTGGAAGGGGAGCCTTGAGGGCTGAGCTCTCCAGTGGGGTGGTGAGGGCACCTTTGATGAGGCACATGCCCAGGTGCCCCTGGTTGGCCCATCCCAGCTCTGAGTTCCCAGGATGCACAGACACTGAGCTCTTCCTTCCCCTACCCCCACGGCTAAGCACAGCAAAGAAGCTGCCTGACAAACCTTTGCAGCTAAAAGGAGAGAGAGGATGGACAAATGCCATGGGCTTCGACTCCCAGGAGACAAGAAAATGTGCCCACGGTACTTGGTTAGACACTCTAAGATCTTTGGACCCAGATTCAGGGCTAGCTGCCTTTGCCTGTCTTGTAGGAGTCAGGCTCTGCCCTTCAGTGGTGGGAGGGAGACCGGACTTGGAAAGTTCTGTGCCACCATGGGAGGATGTACCCGGGAGACCTGTTCCCAAACCTCTGCTAGGCTGCTTTGAGTTCTGGACTCAGTCCCTGATTGCGCTCTTACTCCCTGAACATTTTCAAAAAGCCCTGAAAATAGCTTTGATAATCCACATGTATACTCCAAAGCACTGAATGGTAATATAGCCTTCTTCATTTTGTGCAAGGAAGGGAGGGGGAGATATTTGATATCTTTTAACATCTGAAATAGTTCAAATATTTTCTAATATTTGCAAAAAGAAACACCAGAAGGAAGATTGAGAAAGAAAAAATGGTGACTTCCAGGAGGTTGGAGGGGAGGGGACAGGGAGAGGTGAGACTTCTGTTATATACATTTGTGTCTACATTTGGCTTCTGAACCCTGTCAGTGATTAAGATGCTTAAAAATAAAAGTAAGTCATAAATATAATTAAATTAAAAATAAAATAAAAGGCATGTTCCCTTCAACCTAGCAATTCTACCACTAGAAATTTCTCCTAGTGGCCAGGCACGGTGGCTCACGCCTGTAATCCCAAACTTTGGGGGCCGAGGTGGGAGGATCACGTGAGCCCAGGAGTGTAAGGCCAGCCTGGGCAACATGGCAAAACCCCATCTCTACAAATAATTTAAAAATTAGCCGGACATGGTGGTGCATGCCTGTGATCTCAGCTACTCGGGAGGCTACGGCGGGAGGATCGCTTGAACCCACGTGGTCAAAACTCCAGTAAGCCAAGATCACGCCACTGCATTCCAGCCTGGATGACAAAGCGAGATCCTGGCTCAAAAAGAAAAAAAAAAAAAAAGAAATTTCTCCTAGAAAGAAAAATATGAATAAAGACATAAAGATAAATGTAAAAGGGTATTAGATCCCTGCTTGAAACTATTCAAAATAGAAAAAAAAGAAGGTAACTAATGTAATACATGTGATTATTATATAAATGTAATTTTTAGTTAAACGAATGTGCCAAGTAAGGTAGAACTCTGTGTGGACGTGGAACGATACACAGGGGCAAAAAGGGTGTCATCGTATGAGCACAGAGATCAGATTCCTAACTGCTGCTCACGCTGCCGCTCAGTGCCTCAGTTTCCTCTTCTGTAAAATGGGAATAATAACAGCACTCACCTCATGGGGTTGTTCAGATTAAATGAGCTGACACGTGGAACACTTAGAACCTTGCTTAGTGCAGGTAAGTGCTATTATTTTGTATAATTAAATGGAAAAAGCAGGTGTAAAGTAGTGTTAGGGTATAAGCCCATGGACTGAGGGACATACACACGCCCCACCCACACACACACCCCACACAGTGGTTGTATCTGCCCAGGAAATTCCCGGAAGGAAGCGTAGGATGGGGAATTTGGAACTCTTAATTTCGACCCATCTGTCCCATCTGACGTCTTTCCTAGAACCACAAATTCTTTTATTTAAAATCCAGAGGGAGCCCAGGCACTCCTCCCTGCCCTTCAGTAAAGCGCCTTCCACCCCTGCCTCCCTCAGCTGGGCTGGGTCTCATGCTCAAGTTATTAGTAACTCTGGGACCAAGAGGCCCCTGAAGAGGCTACCAGGACAGTCTGGGGGTGGCCTGTGCCCCTGGGAGTGCAGGGGTGTCCCTGTGCCGGGCTCATGCAGTCGGCACTGCCCCCTCGAGGCTCTTAGGCCTGCCCAGAGCTCCTGGCTCCCTGGGCTCCCACTTGGAGCTCCGCTGCCCCAGGAAAATTGTTTTATCTGCACCAACTCATCTAATAACATTCAGGCTCTTCCCAAGCTCCCCATCCCCCCGTCTGTGATTTGGCATCAAAAGCTCCTAGAATTGAAGAAGGAAAAAAAAAAAGCACATAATTTGTGGCAAGTGGAGTTCATAATCTGTTAATTTATGATCGTTTCTGTCGACCTGGAGGGCCATTAGCAGAGGTAATAAAGGGAGATGTAATTATAGGATCTGGGGCCACTTCAGACACAGCTGCTGTCACTCGGCAGCTCATATTTCATTGAGCCAGACGGGGGCTACCTGGGAGCAGCGCAGCTGAGGGACTTTTGTGAGGAGGCCTCTGGGGATGCCCTGCACATGGGAACCTGGGCAGGGCAGGGTGGTGGAGGCTCCCTGGGCAGGCTCTCCTGGCCGGCACAGGCATGTGGCTGCCCAGGGAGGCAGGATGGCAGGCTCGGGTCATTTGGAGGAGGCTGCAATTCATCAAGTGATTCCCCACTGCCTATTAAAGGCTGCTAGCTCTTGATCTCATGGAATAAGAGGTGGACACTCTAAAGACTTGGGCTTGCCCTATGGAGAACCCAATACTTGGAACATTCAACTCAAGGTAAAAAACCTGCATTTGGGGTAGGACAATGTCAGACTGACTTGAACAATGGCTGGGATTCTGAGTGAACCAAGTTCACCCTGGAAGTCAGCCTTGTTCCAAATGGGATCCTTGGGGCAAAATTAGTTCCTTGTCTCAGCCACAATTCCTATCGGGACCTCATGTATAGTGACTTCTCAATATGTGCATGCAAAGCTAAGTGTGCAATGCCCTCTGTGTGCCAGGCTAGAAGACACTGAAGCATGAGATGTGGTACCCTGTGTTTAAGGACAGTGGCCTAAATTCTTCACAGCTTTACTCCTGAGCAGCCTGGAGTGGCCAGTCCCCCTCTTTCTGTCTGTGCAGGCACCAGAATGGACAGAAGCCAATATAGGCCCAAGGGTGGGCTCCAGCTTGTATCCTCCCTACTCAACCAGCTCTCTCTCTCTCTCTCTCTCTCTCTCTCAGGGCTAGGGAGACTGTCAGATGCATTTTCCATCTAATCTGAGATGGGATAAAGTTGATTAGTTTAAAAATATCAGGCACCTGGCCAGGTACAGTGGCTCACGCCTATAATCCCAGCACTTTGGGAGGCTGAGGCAAGTGGATCCCTTGAGGTCAGGAGTTTGAGATCAGCCTGGCCAACATGGTGAAACCCCATCACTACTAAAAATAGAAAAAAAAAAAAAATTAGCCAGGTGTGGTGGCACGTGCCTGTAGTCCCAGCTACTCGGGAGGCTGAGGCAAGAGAATCGCTTGAACCTAGGAGGTGGAGATTGCAGTGAGCTGAGAACGTACCACTGCACTCCAGTCTGGGCAAGTGAGCAGAGACTCCATCTCAAAAAAAAAAAAAAAAATCGAGAACTTGATTGTGTCATTGCCTTTAGTAGGAGGTTTTCTTTTCTTTCTTTTTTTTTTTTTTTTTTTGAGACGGAGTCTCACTCTGTCTCCGAGGCTGGAATACAATGGCGCAATCTCAGCTCACTGCAACCTCCGCCTCCCGGGTTCAAGCAATTCTCCTGCCTCAGCCTCCTGAGTAGCTGGGACTACAGGTGCCCACCACCATGCCTGGCTAGTTGTTCTATTTTTAGTAGAGATGGGGTTTCACCGTGTTAGTCAGGATGGTCTCGATCTCCTGACCTTGTGATCTGTCCACCTCGGCCTCCCAAAGTGCTGGGATTGCAGGCGAGAGCCACTGTGCCCGGCCAGTATGAGGTTTTCATGCAGTGGCAGGAGACTTCACTAATTAATTTTACCTTAAACACTGGAAGGTCAGGAGGCAAAGAATTCAGCATGCAGATTTATGCAAAATAGGCAAATTAGCATTTAAGATGGACAACTGAGCCCCTGTTTTTATTTCATTTTATTTTTTTTACCAAAAAGAATTCAGCTTTGGACAAGGATAAATGAAGCCATGAAAGGAGGCTTTTATTACTATTAGCAACTACAACAGCCCTGGTAAGCGTCTCTGCCATTCGTACACACTAAGTGCGCTACATCCTCACGGCAATCCCGTGAGGGGCTCTATCGGGATTCCCACTTTACAGACAAGGACATTGAAGCTCTGAAAAATTCAGTATGTTGCACAAGGCCAGTAAGGACAGAGCTGAGATGAAAGCCCAGGCTGCCTGATTCAAAAGTCTATGGCTTTAGCACCCACTCTGCTCTAGCCCTGCTGTCTTGGTTGGGCACAGATGGGAGATAGAGCTGGAGGTGGAAAGGCACAGGGAAAAATGAGTGCAGGGGAGACATGGTCTCCTTGTCCTATCTACTTCCTCCGTGGTGTTGCAGGGGTAGGGTTGTGGAATAACGAAGCATTGACCCAGGGGACCGCCAGGCGCCACTCATGAGCCATTGCTAGGATGCAGGATCTGTTCAACCTAGAACAGGAGTGTGGGGGTGGGGACAGGGGTACCTGTACCCAATTTGGCCCTGGGTTAGTGGAGCAATCCAGGCTGAAGTGTCTTAAGCAGTGGCCTGACCCCACATCTGTGCTGAACCAGCACTGGGCAGATTCAAAAACTACTGAGTGTATAATCCCCGAGAGGTTGAGCTCCTTAGTAAGGGCGTACCAGCCCAGATCCCTGGTCAGAATGCCCAGGGGCCACCGGGCAGTCCCTGCCAGCAGAGTCTCTGGGCCATCTGATATCTTTGTGCGTCCCTGTCCTTTAACTTGGGCATGCAAGGTCTCACATGGAAGGACTTTTTTTATTCCCTCAATCAACTGTGGGCCTTGGGCCAGGCATGGTGGCTCACGCCTATAATCCCAGCACTTTGGGAGGCCAAGGTGGGCAGATCACTTGAGGTCAGGAGTTTGAGACCAGCTTGGCCAACATGGCAAAACCCTGTCTCTACTAAAAATAGAAAAAAATTAGCTGGGCGTGGTGGCGGACGCCTGTAATGGCAGCTACTCGGGAGGCTGAGGACCGAGAATCACTTGAACCTGGGAGGCGAAGGTTGCAGTGAGCCGAGATCGCGCCATTGCACTCCAGCCTGGGCAACAGGGCAAGACTCTCTCAAAAAAACAAACAAAAAAAACAACTGTGGGCCTTGGTATCCAAAGTCTGGGACACCTTTGCTGTATCATCTGCATGCTGTATTCACCTTTCAGAGCCACAACAAATGAAACACAGATCTACAGACAGGAAGCTGACTTGTCCCATGTTCACGGTGAGGCATCACCAGAAAGATCAAAGGAGTTTCTACCACACTCTGAGTCAACATTTTAGAGTCTTAAAGGAGTTGAGGAATAAACTGCACAGAGAAAGGCCCCCAATATGTATGTAATGTAGAATACATGCGTGTTGGTGTCTACAAAAATAAAAAAGCTCCTGCCATCTGCCCAGACCTAGAGAGGCTGAAAGCAGGGTTTGGGTCCACACACAGCGAAGAGAAGTCCACACAGCCTGAAACATGTAACACACACTTTCCGCACCAGAAAGGCCCTTAAAATCTCAGAAGCCAACCCAGAGACAGGCCTCCCTTAGAGAACAGACGAATGGCAATAGTGGGCATGCAACCGATGCCAGCACATGCCAGACACTGTGCCGAACGCTCCACGAAACACAGGATCTCCTTTCATGCTCACATCAAAGCTCACAAAGTGGGGGACTCTTGTATTCCCATTTGACAGAGAGGTCAGGTGGCCTCTAGGGTTACTCAGCTAGTAAGCTGCAGACCCAGAATTGGAATCCCAATCTGATTCCCAAGCCCGTGCTCTTCACTGCTCCGTTCTGCTGCCTCCAATAGGAAGAGAGAGTCAGTCTTTCTTCTGTTGTTTTCCGGCATTGTTCCAATAAGGTCTACAGGAAAACCCTACTCTTTGCCCTTTAAGGGCTCAAGGAACTTTTTCTTTGAATATTACACTAATTGTAGATTCAAACATGGCCCCACCTTGAATGATAACTAATTCTGAAGAGCCTGCAGCAGTGTATAAGCCTCACTGGGCCCTCTAACTACCTGTTCCTCTCCAATGCTACAAGGAGAGAAGAGGAGCTCAGAGAAACAGGCCTGCCAGGATTTCACAGGCCTTCTGGGGTCCAGGATCTGGGCATCAGAAGCACAGCCATTGGGTAGGCTGCGGGGATGCTGGCTGAGTGTCCCTGGCCATACTCTCCCCTGGTCCCACATGCTCACCTGGGATGTGCTTGGCCCAGCCAATGATGACCACAAGCTCTCGGTCTGCCAGGTCACAGAGAGTGGTCAGGGCCTTGATGTCCCCCTCAGGCATACCGGGGGGAGGCATGGCGTAGAGCTTGTCCGGCTCGGCCACCAGTAGGTATGAGACAATCTTGGTCACTGCAACAACCAAAGAAGGAAAGGTAAACGCTGGGAAAAGAGGAAAGGGGCCGGGGTGGAGGCTCAGATGGGTCAGGAAGCAAAGTCGGGTTCCTAAGAGCCCCAGGAAGGTCAAAGTGGCTGTAATCTCCCCTCCTGTTCTGGCTCCATGAAGTTGATGATAGCAGTGATCTGGGATATTGAGAAATATCCCTCCAAGGGAAGTTGCCTGATGAATTCTCCAGGAGGAACCTGCAGAGCAACCTTGGGTGGGTGGCAAGGGGAGCATGTTCTGGACATTGGGGCCTGTGGCTTGTCAGGACCATGCTTCAATTGGAGTCACATTCTAAATGTGCCAGGCACTGATGTCACCTCCCCAAGATCCATATTGTCTCATGACCCAGTGGTGGGAAGATGACGTTTCCCTAAGGGATGCCTGATGTTCCAGGTACAGAGACGATCTGGCAAAAAGGACAGGGACTGACACTCACATGGCTTTTTAGCAGGTGGAGAAATTTGTAAGCTCAGGTACGGGCTGCTCTCTGAGTCCAGCCGTCGCTTGTATTTCTGGCGGCCTCCACGCACTCGATCAAGGCGCACACCTATTGGGGAGCAAAGGGAAAAGATCTCAGGAGTTGTTCAACATCACCAGGGTAGAAGCACTGACTTTGGAATTTCAGCACTGGCTGGATCCTTCAGGGCCATGCTCAGATGACCTCTGACAGCTGCCCCATGGCCAGCCTCAGGTCAGGTGGCTGGACAATCCTAAAATAATTGTCTAACAGTAATGGCGCATCCCAGTTGCCCCAGGCCTGGTCCTGTCTCTCTGGATTCAGCATCCTTCTGAAATCCATCTCAAGCAACCCTCAGCCCTTGGTTCTCCTTATCTCAACAAAGACACTCTACCAAGTGCTGGCGGAAAAAGTCACATTATGTTAGATCTGCTTTGAATCCAGGGAGGGTTAAGTTAACTTGCCAACAAAAGAAAGGAATCCCAATCATTCACAGGCACTTCAGGGGTTTTCACATTTTCCACATAAGAAGCATCTGAGGAGGCACTCATTACCAAAGTCAATTTCTAGATCCCACTCTCTGAGGTTCTAGCATAATGCTCTAGAGTCTGTCTTTACACAAGTCCCCAGGGGCTGGGAATGCAACAGTTGGACTGGCCACCTCTGGACCGGAAAATCCGTGCCTGGAAATATCTTGAAAGTAGGTTCAAAAGCAGCCGTGGCTACTCCACGTTGACACCCACTTCCAGGAGTGAGAGTTTACCCTGGAGAGAACTGTCATTGTCACTGTATCCAACTTGCCTTCCAGAAGTCTGCCTCACCCACAGCTCCTGCTGCCTGGACAGACACGATGGTACCATTTCAAGCCCCCTACCAGCAGATCAAAGGCACAGGGCCTCAGGTGGGCACACAGCTCAGACTGGCTACCCACTGATGTGGCCTGGCCTGCAAGGATGAATCCCAACAAATTGGTTACAAAGTATGAACCAGCTCAAAAGCACCAGCGAGCAGGTGCCCCAAGCATGGTGCTGGGGCCCTGTGGAACCTGGAAGCCACTTCTGCTTTCTAGCTGTGGCTCTTCCAGGCCAGCCTCAGACAATGTCCCTTCTTGGAGTCCCTGCCTCGAGCTCACAGAACAGCTCCCTTTTCCTGACCATGAAATGGGCCTTGACTGAAACACACAAGAAATCAGACACGGAGACCAGAGTCCTCAGAGAAGCAAGCTGGTTGCCACCTCAGCCTCTGCTGTGACAGGCCAGGTTCAACTTCTGTTCTTTTCCCCAAAGGCGGTGAGTATCACCCTCACAGAGCCCCTCACAGTTGACCTTCAGGGCCCTGTCTTTCCCTTTTCTAATAAACTCTGGTGCTTCCTAGATCGGGAGCAGAAGAAAGAGAATCTTCATCCCTGTCCCAGCCTTGTCCATCCTTCAGCCCCAGAGGGTTGGCTGCCAGTCCCCCGGATTCAGGCCTTTCTCCAGAAGAGGCAAGGGGAAGCCTGAACAATGGTTACTTAGTGGAATGACGATTTAGAGCCCATTCATGCCTGGGGCTATTTTCTGGCTGTTTCTTTATTAGGATGTACAGCTACTAAATTTAAGTCCCTGGGAAGGAGGAAGTTTCCTAGAGCAACTGAAAGCAAAATTACTTTGTTTACTGAATGAGTGGAGAAAATTCCTTTAAGTGCGCATTGCCCTAAAGGGCTTTCGGGGTGCTGAGGACACTACCCCCCACCCCTTTGCTGTCCCAGGTGTTTTCAGTTCAGGACTCCAGGTCACATCCCCCGCTGGAGGGCAAGAATGCTGTGAGCTCACTGAGAGAGCCTATAACTCCACATTTTTGTCAGCAATGTCTTTTTCAACCCCACAACTTGGTGCATTTGTACCTGGTGCTACATGGTTGCAGTGAACGTTTTTTAGTCGGGGAGAGGGGGAGTCTATTCAGCAGCCCACCCAGGCTTCCTGTTTAAAGGAAATTCCCCTGGTCAGGCGCTGGGGCTCACGCCTGTAATCCCAGCACTTTGGGAGGTCATGGTGGATGGATGCCTTGAGGTCAGGAGTTTGAGATCAGCCTGGCCACCATGGCGAAACCCCATCTCTACTAAAAATACAAAAATTAGCCAGGTATGGTGGCACATGCCTGTAATTCCAGCTACTCGGGTGGCTGAGGCACAAGAATCACTAGAACTCGGGAGGTGGAGGTTGCAGTGAGCCAAGATTGCACCACTGCATTCCAGCCTGAGTGACAGAGTGACACTCCATCTCAAAGGAAAAATTTTTAAAAAATTTTAAAAAGGTAATCACCCTCTTGGGAATAGGGGAATTGCTGGAAGCCTGCACCTCACCCCTCAATGGATATCTGAGTAGTACACGTTCTTCTCTCTGCCCTCTGGAGGTCAAGGCATGAACCCATGACACAGGCTCAGTCAAGTGCACCATCAAATGGAGGCACAAGGGCAGAGTGAAGGTGAGGACTGATCAGACCAGCAGCGCCTCCACAGCGGAGTGTAGGCAGCCCCTGGCAGTGTGTCCTGGCTACTGGGTGTCCTGCTCTTGGGCTTTCCAGGGATTCTCGTGGTTCTTGTCTGGTTTCTCAATGTACTCTTTGAGCCTCCTGATAGGCTTCCAATAAACTCCCCTTCTGCCTAGAAGGTCAGGTTTTGTAACTGACAACATCTGTTGTTGACTTCTCCAGGAGCAGAATCTGCGACAAGGCTGTGCATGCGGACAGTTTCCAAGGAGGGAAGAAAGCCAGTAACAAATGTGTTCCTGAGGACAGTACTGCTGTGGGCAACTGAGGCTCCCAGCTGCAGGCTGCTTTGGCGCTTCTTGCCTGCCTCCCAGGTCCAGGCTGAGCAGACTCTGGTGGCCAAACAAAGCCCAGGCGTCAGATCAGCACACACACTCACACACACGCACGCATGTATACATGCACACATATGCACACACACACAAATAGAGAGTGCTGAGTAGGTGTGGGCAGGAGCAGTCTCCGCTGTCTTCCTCCTCAAGTGTGGTCTGCAGGCCAGCATCATCGCCATCATTTGAGGCTTGGTGGAAGCCTCGAAATCTCAGGCCTGGCCACAGAGGAATCAGACAAGGTGATTTGCATGGACAACAGAGTTTGAGGAGCACTGCACTAAGGCATCCTAGCAAATACAGCTGTACCATCAACTTGTACCCGTACCTTGGACCCTAAAGGGACAGCTAGATGCCATCCAGCTCCAGACTGAACCTATGTGCTGCCAGCACTTTGGCTCACATTTGTCCCCTCACTCCTCCAAGCCCCTTCAGGGAGGGCAGAAGGAGCAGACACAAACACAGGAAGGATGATTTTTCCTGTGAAAGTTTTTTGGGAAAAGTTCCCTGTCTAGAAAAGCTTTCTGACTCTATCCTGTGACGTGTCTACATAGAAGCCTCCTCTGTTCACTATACCCAGGCCAAACCAAACCCTCCACCAAGCTCTGCTTCCCCTTGGAATGGTGACGGGACCAAGAGTGAAAACGGTCCACCTCATCCATAAGAGACAGTAAGGGCCCCCACTTACTGAGCACCTACTGTATGCCAGGATCTTAAACATATACTCTCCTTGAGTCCAGGACAAGCCCCAACTCCACTTTACTGACCTTCTCTCCTAGATGCCACTGGAATGAACTCTCACTTCCCATCCACCCTGCTTCCTGGCAAGCAGCTGTCAATCACAGTGAGACGTGCTCAACACAAAATAAAAAGAGGTGTCCGTCCTTCAGCAAGGCAAGGAGACGGGCAGCCGCCACCTCTGCTGATGGCTCCATCTGGGGTGTTCTGCGTCCTGATATAGGGCCTGACCTTTCATGGACGTTCAGGAAAGACTTGATATTGAATACAGGGGTGGATGTACCTCTTTCCTCCTCATCCCCATGCCGGGTTTCTTCATGGGCTCCCAGAGCACACTGGGCTTCCCCTACTGACTAGGTGCCCGTTAAGGCCAGGGGCGGTTCACAGTCCTGCCCCAATGTCTGTCAAGGTACCCAAGACACAGCACGTGCTTAGAAAATGAAAGTATTATCATCATCATCATCCTTATTATTACTGTTCCCCAGCATTGCACCCAAGTTTTTGCTAAATCACATTAATAATGATAATGATAACAGCATAATTTGTAAAGGACTCTCTGTATGTATTACCCTACTGAATGCACAAAAATATAAAGCAGGTGCTATTATCCTCATATTCCAAACAAGAAAAACTGAGGCTCAGAGAGATTCAGTAATCTGCCCAATAAAAGACCCAAGGTCTTTGCCATTCCACGGTATGACCTCCCAGGGTACAGCAAATGTAAGTTCTCCTCTGAATTTTCTCCTCCAGATCTTTACAGCATAGTGGTCAATGGCTCCAATCAATATGTGTATCAATTATCAGGTTATGCTGTTAAAAAAAAAAAAAAAAAGTGGCCCAGGCTGGAATGCAGCGGTGCGATCTCGGCTTACTGCAACCTCTGCACCCCTAGCCTGAGGTCGGGGAAGATGGACCCCCACCTAAGTGAAGTGGCCTTCTTCTTTTTTTACTGTTTTTGAGACAGACTCTCACTGTGTGGCCCCGGCTGGAATGCAGTGGTGCGATCTCGGCTCACTGCGATCTCGGCTCACTGCAACCTCTGCCTCCCAGGTTCAAGCCATTCTCATGCCTCAGCCTCCCGAGTAGCTGGGACCATAGGTGTGTGCCACCATGCCAATGGGATGTCAGGGTAAGTCCATGGCGGGACTTCTGGAATGGTTTTGCTTTTCTGAGAAAAGGGACAGACATGTTCAGTGCAGCTCTTTTTGCCTTTCTCTTGCCCCAACATGGAAGGTGAAGCCTACAGCTGTGGCAACCACCTTGCAGTCATGACATGGCTCTCTGAGGACACCAAAGAACACCGGAGAAGAAAGAAAGAGCTGGAGCCCCTGCCGCCATGGCTGAGAGCTCTGTGCAATACAGCAGCTGCCCATCTCCAGGCTTCTTGTAAGGTGGAAAAACCAACTTCATTTATCCATGCTTACGCTGCTATCAGGTTCTCTATAACTTGAGACAGAAAGCAATTTTCACTGACTGATACAATGGGCAATTACTTTT